CCCCGCGTCCCGCCGCCGCGTTTGAACGTGCAGCCCTTTTGCGGATCTGGCTGGCACAGCCCTGCCCCCGAAGCCCCGGGACCTGAGGCGGACCTGACTGGAGCAGCCCTGCCCGGCTCCACTCGGGGTCCTGCCGTAGCCCTGTCAAACCCGACCTGGCCTCGAGGTGTTCCCGACACTTTCCCGTAGCACTCTTGCCCGACCCTGACACCCCTGGCATGGCTTTGCTCAAATCTGGCGTCCCTTGCTGCCCCCAGCACAGCCCTGCCTGACCCCTGTACCTGCTCTGGGCTCGCCTGGCACAACCCTGGCTCCAGGACCCTGCCTGTCCTCAGATCAGTCTGTCCCTCCCGGGAAAGCTGCAGGAGTGACCCCTCACAAGCATCTCCAGCACTCTGGAGAGACATGCCTGGGGCAGAGGGACACGGGGGAGAATGATCGAGCCAGCCCCAGGAGCAAGGAGACCAGAAGAAGAGTGCAGTGATGGACATCTTGTTTATGGTGATTTCACTTCAGATGCAGCCGGGACCCAGAAGAGAGACGGTCCCCAGCACCAGGTCATAACAGGAGGAGCAGCAGGAGCTGCCTGGGGCAGGAGGAAGCTGACATGCCCAGAAGGTAGCAGGGGGCCACACAAGGGTCAGGCAGCTGGGGACAGGAGGAGCCCATAGCCTGTCACACCAATTCTCCCCACAGAGGAGCTTCAGGAATGGTTTTCCAGTCCAGTGCTCTGCATCTCTGATTCCTCTTGTACCATTCGTGGCTCCCAGCAGAGGTTGGGGATGCAGCTCCCAGCTCTGCAGCATCTGGGCCATGGATCCTGGACAGCTACCCTGGGGGAGTCTCATCTGATCTCTGTGTCCACCTCCAGTGAGCAGCCAGCCAGCCCATTGGGTTATCCCAAGGGAAAAGGAGGTGTCTTCCAGCCGTGATGGGCAAAGCAGAGCACCCTTGGTGCTGGTGAGATCACCCCTCCCTCCAGCAGCTATTTGTGCTCTGTCCCCCTTCATGGCCTCCCATACCCTACCATCTCAAGCCCCTGGCTTGCCCATCACTGTTGCCCTTGCCTTGAT